ACGCAACAAAATAAACAATAGAGAGAACTATGACATTTTTAGTTGCCAATTAAGTTAAGCTAATCTATAAATCGCTGCAGCTCTCAAATGAGGTAGATTAAGCTTCCTGTGTGTTTCCCATGAGATTATCTTGCATGTTTCTTAAGATTTGCAGCATGAAAAAGTGCAAAGCTAAGCATGCTTTTAAGTTTTTTGTCAGCGTAAATTTGTGAGTTATCTTCTTAAACACAAGACTGTGATAGTAGCGAAGACAATTGAAAAGCTTAACTAAAAGAGTTCAAAGAGTTCATATGGTTTGTCCTGACGTAGATAGGAAACCGAGCACCTGTGTGTGTGTGTGTGTCAAGGCTCTGCGGTGAAAGATTAACTTTAGTTTTTGTAGTGTTTGGTTGACATCTCATGTCTCAAAGGCTACAAGAGAGAACACTTTCAGTTCAAAAAGTGTCTCACTTCCTGTCACACCACACAAATGAGAACTTATGAGAATTGTTTGCCCAAACCTTTGCACACACACCACAACCCCTTATTACTATGTTCCTGTACTCTAAAGAGTTATTCTTGCTTTGACTTTAAGGTCCTTTCACATGCTACACTTTTTAAAAAAATCCTTCAACTGTTTTAGGTTGCTTGCTTGAATCAAACCCTTTTCCTTACGTCTCATCCATCGTTTCATTCTGAAGCCTCTTAAGTTCTCACTCTCTCCACATTTTTCTGTTTTTGATTTGGCATCTGTGTCTCTCTGTCCACACACCCTTGGTAGGATAGTAGGTCACTGAGGCTCCCTTTCTGTGTGTGTGTGTGTGTTGTGCATGTTTGGATTGAGATTGAGTTACATAGCTGGATTGTGTAATTGTGAGGTGTGTCTCTGCTGTAGGGAGCTGCTCTGCTGTTTCCATTGTTGAGAGAGTTGAACTTGGAGCCGGCGGTGCAGTGCGCGTCGTAGTCCTGCGCAGGGTTTCATAGGAAAATGAAGAACGTGTGAGGGAGTTTTGTTGACTCAAAACGCTACATGCGGCCCATACAGGTTTACGGTAAATAGAGGATTTAAGCCCATTGTTGTTGGCCGCACTACGAATGCATGTCTTAAAGTGAACGCTAAGCCTGAGCTGTGGTTGGTTTTAATTACAGCATCGCAGTCATAAAGCGTCCAGTGTTCCTGTCATAACTTGTCAGCCTGTAAAGATAGCTGCTCTTTGAGCTCAGTAGTAATAGAATAATGTTGATTGCTGCTGCTAATGTAGACTTTCTGTCAGCTTTGTAAGGAAGATCCATTTTTGCTTTTTGTATTAAAACATAATGGTGGGTTATGACAACAGTCAAATCAGTAAAAGTCATCTGTGGCAGGCTATATTATTTGTTTGAGTCTAGCTGGTTTCACATTGTTTTTTGTGTGTGTGTTTACCCCTTGAGATACATAATACACTGTTGTGGGGTTACAAAAGTTCACACAGGCAATAAAAGCCCAAAAAATATACTTAAAAAAAAAAAAAAATGTTCACACAGTTCAATCTTGGAACAGATGATGCATCATCTTTTCAGCACCAACTTACTGACCATGAACTTAAAAAAAAAAAATCTGCTTCATTGTATGTTTTCACATTTATTTCAATTTCTGCTGGAATAAAAATGTACCTTTTCTGTGTTGATTGTTTACCGATAAAACTGTGCAAATGTACTGAGAAGGCTGCTTTCTTGAACAAATAACTTTATTAAAGAATATTTAAGTTAAATATTCTTTTATATTTTTATATTTTAAGTTAAATATTCTTTAACATGTTAAATAATTAAACATGTCAACCACTTCTAGTTGACAGTGCTGTGAGCTGCTTTTTCTCACGTACTCCGTGCGGCTGGCCACAGTGTTAAAAATAGCAGTGGATAAACTTTGCAGTGACACCAATATATGATTACGAGCATTGTTTAATACTAGTATATTGTTATATATATGACGATCAGTCCCAATACGCTTGCGGTCGACCAGACAGATATATATTGGCCGATACATATCTGTCGGGCTCTAAAGAAGTCACAATTTCTAAAGGCCAACATGATGTCATTAAATATTTTCTCTGAGTCTAAAACCCAAAGATATTCAGTGTCATGCAATGTAAGACAATGGAAATCTGCAAGTTGTTACATTGGAGGAGCTGGAACCAGAGAATGTGTGGCATTCTTTGCTTACAAATGAAGACTTCCTAAATAAGTGCAGATTTATTTTCTGTTGTGCGAACAGTAGCATGGTCTAAAGACTGTGGCTGTCGCATGCTGTAAAGCACTTTGAGGCAAATATGTGAGATTGGGCTACAAGTGAAAGTGATTTCACGTGTTTGAATTTTAAATAAAAGGAGATAGCTCTAATCCTGAATAATATTGTGATGATGATTTCAACCACAAAGCGCAGCCATATGGTTTATGTAGTCTATGTTAATTAACTTCTCTTCTAGACCTCTGAACTTAAAACCTGTGGGCTGATTAGCTGGTTTTTGGATCGTTGTTGGGTGTTGTTGCCATTATCCATTTAAATGCATAAGATTCATATATGAATAAAAAATTGCCACACGCATACATAGGGCTGTGTGATATGACCAAAATATCATATCCTTAATAACGATATAATACATCACTGATATACATCATGCTGTAAGTTCAATGACAATAGTTGATATAAATGACCTACATAGAAAATTCTTATTACATTTTAAATTTATATACTTAACAACACGAGAAGGTACTTGATTATTTTTCTCACCTACTTTGTTACCATGTTCTGGTTTTTTGCGACTATTTGAAAACAAGCTGCTTGGAAGACACAGAGAGAAGAAACAAAGCATGAGCCAAGTGGCTGTATGTAGTAGATGTATGTTGACTTATGTATGTTGTATGTATAGTATGTATGTAATGTATGTATGTATATTATGTATGTAGCTATGTATGCTATTATGTGATTACTGCGTTATGTATGTAGTGTATGATATGTATTAATGATATGTACTGTATGTATGTATGTATGTGAAAGAAAGCCAGATTGAGCAGATTAAAGTGGTTTGTGAGTAAACGCTGGTGTTAACACTTGCTTTGCAATGCATCCCTGCCTCATCAACAACCCCCCAAACCTCATATTTTCTCACATAGACAAAAGATATTTTTTAACTCCGAAAGAGCGTGACTTGTCACAACAAAATGAACCACAGAGCAAAATATGCCCTATGTACACATTTAGGTTGGTAAGAGATTGTTAATGTTGGTAGTTCAGTAAATTTGGTATATATTTCATTTTTCCACAGATTGAAGACCAGTGGATCCCAAACCGCCGTACAGTGAAGGCCTCAGACTTCAAACTGGATCCCTCCAGTCCTCACCTATCCAGCTGATGGCAGGCAGATCTCCAGCCCACCAGGAAGTCTGAATGACGCCCTAGACCATCTCCTTTGCTTACTTTCTGCATCTCCGCTCTCCTCTCCGTCCTCTTCTACTCTTGTCTGATCCCACAAATCAACCAGATATCTCACCATGGATACGCTGACTGAAGACAGAGAGGGATGCTACTTAAACCGCAGTGTCAATTTTTTCTATGAGAAGAGTGGCAAGAACATTAGCAGTCACTGGCGCACGCGTGACTATGTGATTGTCACTCTGGGCATGACGGTCTGCTTCATCGTCATCTTTTCCAACCTGTTGGTCATAGGCGCCATTTTAAAAAACAGACGCTTTCACTATCCCATCTACTACCTGTTGGGTAACCTGGCTTTGGCAGACCTCTTCTCAGGTACAATTGATTTACTTCATGTGCACTACATATTATATTAATAACAAATGTGTCCATCTTCACTTCTATCGTTAATACTGTTACAAAGATTTATTGTTTTATTTGTTTATGTTTTGAGGGGATTGGAATTTTTTTGCCATTTAACCACAGTGATGCAAACATGGATGTTTTTGTGTCTCTCCCTATCCTAGCTTAGATATTTGTTGCGTAAGGTGCAACACACTCGCACTGTGTCATGTAGTGTCGCATCTGGGGAACAAATGTGATAGAAGTGTTGCTTTTATGGAGAGTTGATGAGTGTAGATGCTGGTAAGTAGCGCAGTGGTGGTGTATCCCACTGGGTCAATGATGCTGGTAAATCTGCAGTGACACATGGCGCCAATGTGCATTCCTACATAAAAAAAACAATGGCTGTGGGTGTTTTGACACTTTTGACTTGAGGCCCTTAACAGGTCATGACCTTCTTCTCTATTAATTATGGAAACGCACTTATAATTCTGGAAAATAATCTATGTTGACCCGGAAAACTTAAATTGTATTTTAGCCCATCACTCAAATCTGCACCTCAGATCGCCTACATATGTATATGTCTGAAACTCAACTGTTAATCTGTTAATCTGCTAATCTGCGTGGTTTGACAGCTCAACATGGGTTTACCAGAAGTGGAACCAACTTGCAGCAGCTTTTTGACATCGAGTCTTTTGAAATTTTCTGTGAAATATAACTACCAATTAACTGAATTAACTTAACATTCTGTGTAAATTGAACTGTTGTGGGCTGTGGCCTAACTAATGTTACAGTTGGAGGAAAACTGTAGTCAATTTACTGGAAGTGTATTTAGTGAGAACAGCCAAGTGTGCCGCAAAAGTGAGATACTATACAATACTCGTTGTGAGCAAGTGCTGTCCTGTAATGTCAAGAAAAATGACTTCTTAAAATGAGAGTTCCCACTCGTTTTAAGAAGTAATTTTTTTGTTGAACTGATGCCAAATATCTGGGAGCTTTATTTATCATACCCTCATATTGCATGCAAAGACATTAAGCACACGTTAAGGAGTTTGTCCCAGTCTTGATAGGAAGGAAAATAATCTTAAACACAAACAACTCCTTGAAGACAACATAATATATAATAATGTGAATTATCCCGTAGCTCTTTTTAATAACATTTCTATGTAATTAAACCCTCACTCTCCTCTTCCCAGGTATCGCCTACCTCCACTTGATGTTTCATACTGGTCCCTGGACCATTAAGCTCTCTAAGTACCAGTGGTTTGTGCGACAGGGGCTGATTGACACCAGCCTGACCGCTTCAGTCCTCAACCTCCTGGCTGTGGCAGTGGAGCGCCACCAAACCATCTTCAACATGCAGCTGCACAGTAAAATGAGCACCCGGCGTGTTTTTGTTATCATTGTATTCATCTGGCTGGTGGCTATAATCATGGGCCTGGTTCCCACCATGGGCTGGCACTGCCTGTGCGACCTGGATCACTGCTCCACCATGGCGCCGATGTACAGCCGCAGCTACCTGGTGTTCTGGGCCGTTCTCAACCTGCTAACCTTCTCTATCATGCTGGCTGTCTACACCCGGATCTTTCTCTATGTGCGGCACAAGAGCAAGCAGATGTCGCAGCACACCTCCCAGATGAGACACAGAGAGACAGTGTTTGCCCTGATGAAGACCGTCTCCATGATCCTGGGTGAGGAAGCACACATGCTGTTTATACACATTAAGTTCTGGGCAATAAACAAAAAACTTACTGAAACCTACATTATGAATCTCTCACTGACCTAACTGAATGTCGGTATGTTTGGTAAAGTCATTTCTTTAAATTCTGACCATAATCTAATATAAGTACAAACAGCTGAGCAGGTGCTTGTGTCCTTTATGAGGATTCATTCATAAGTGAGAAAATAGAGTCAGCGTTGCTCCACTTGCAGTTTCAAGCCGTCTTTAACCATAAATTCCCAGCATAACTAAGAGGAAGTGACACAAATGTTGGTGAAACTGTACTTGGAAGGAGAGCTTGTTCAGAGAAACATTACTTTTATTGGCATACACATACATAGATACACAACACTGAAGGAAATAAAAGTAAAGGCTTTCAGGGAAATAACAGCAATAATAACAGCAGTGTGTAATAACGCAATACATATGCAAAAATGTCATGAAGATTGGGATGAAAAGTACCTTTATTTGTATTATTGAGCATTAGAGTTCATTATTGACCTTGGAAACTGTAATTTGAATTGATTGTCATCATTAGTGGGTAGATATAATGTATAATATAACTTCTTTTGATGGTGCTGAAAAATGTGAAACAGCCTATTTTACTTAGATTTTTATATTACATTTCAAACCATATCGTATAGTGAACATCATTTATTTTTTATGTATTTTAACTTTTTTCATTTATTTGTTTTTGGTATAAACTCTAACTTTAGGTGAATCTGGTGCATATTCAGCTGCATTTCCTCCCCATTTATCTTATTGCTTTCTATTAATGAGAAAACCAAAGCATCCCACACACTTGTCCTCACTTGTCCAAAACAGTGTTTTAGTCCTTCACTTATCAGGTAAAATCTATTAAGTCAAGATTGTTCACCTGTTAGTAAGACTTTTTGGTATGCAAGGCAGCTCACCTCAAGAGGACTTTGTTTACTGTAAACTATGGTGGTCCTTGGTCTTCTTGCAGCAGGAAACACAACAACTTCTTGTTTAAGGTCATAAAATTCAGCGATCTGCTCCTTTTGTAAATAACTGTTTATAAAAAGTGATGGTATATCTAGTAAATGTTTGTGATTAGATAAGCAATAATTCAACTTAAAGATAGAATCTGTTTTTTCAGAACTGTGTGTTTAATCAGATATTTACGCTGAGACCACTATCAACCAAACTGATTTCCAGCAGCGCTCCAGCCACTTCAAGAAAGAAAGGCACAGACAAAACACAGAAATATTATATATATCTGCTGCGAAATAACCTTACATTTTATGTGAAGTAGTGAAGCCGAATGTTTTTTTTTAGGGCTTTAATTGTACAGACACACACACACACACACATACATATATATATATATATATATAGACATTACTGACTTTGCTCACTGTGAGAGAGATACAGGCAAGAGCTACGCTTCAAGGAAATGCTCATCTCAATTTCCAAAGAATAGCGGCTTCTTAACGTGTTGTTGCACTGAGGGTTGGCATGCAGGCGCCTCTCTTAGCCTGTCTGTACTTGATAAACCAGACCTTACACCTCCCCACACACATTCACTCCTTCCCTCCTTTTCCCGCCGAGTCCTCCTTGTTTTTTTTTCTTTTTGCTGAACTGGCTGTGCTCCCTCGCTCCCTCTGCCCTATTTCCCAGCCTCCCCTTCTCCGGCACTTGCATTTTGAGCTTTCGATGAAATTCCTCAACGTTTTTAAAATGTTACTCATCTCTCTGCCCGTCGCTCGGCAGCCAGGATTCAGCACCTATGGCATGTGAGGAGGGCGAGGAAAAGCCTGAGCATGTCCTGACAGGGAGCTGCATAGTTTAGTTACTGTGACAGAAAACAGCTTCACTCCAGCCCATATGACACAACTGAGAGTGTGTGGGGTGTGCACTTCTGAGCTTGTGAAGACCAACTAGAGTTTTTGACTTTGAGAATGAGGACATTTTTGTAAAGCGGGGACATTTTGGGTGTTCCCCATGTCTTCAAATTGCTATTTAGATTTGAGGCTAAGCATGTAGTTCTGACAGTTAAGGTTATGGTCAGGGGCTGAGGAATGCATTGCACATTGTGTGTGTGTTTGTGTGTGTGTTACCACATCGTTTTCTCATTTCCGCCTGTAGCTTGTACGTGTGCATATATTAGTGCTGAATGTGCTTCGAATGTGTGCACATAATGAATTCCTGAGCTGCCTAATCGAGTATTATGATAATGAAATCTGATCATACAGACTAAACCCAGTCCACATGCTGACATTTTATGTATCTGTGTGTGTGTGTGTGTGTGCGTGCGTTCGTGTGTGTGTGCATTGTCTAGAGAGGAATTTACAGTACATTCCCTTTCTCCCTTAGCTACCCTCTACTTCTTCACATTCTTTACAACTGTCTGTTCATTTTCTTTCCTCTTAGCAACTCCTTTTTTATCTGTGACTTTCCTTGTTGATTTCCAATGTTATTACAAGCCTTCTTATGACCTTATGTACCCTTGATCTCTTCCTCTCTCTCCCTTCCCTTCCCTCCCTCCCCACCCCTGCCCCCTCAATCCTCCACCGACAGGTTGTTTTGTGATCTGCTGGACGCCCGGCCTGGTGTTGCTGCTGCTCGACGGTCTGGGCTGTAACAGCTGTAAGGTGCTGCTATTCGAGAAGTACTGCCTGGTGCTGGCAGAGTGCAACTCCTTCGTCAATCCCATCATCTACTCCTTCAGGGACAAAGACATGAGGAGGACCTTCAAGGAGATCCTGTGCTGCCTGTGCCGGCGGGGCAGCAGCAAAAAGGGCAACTCTGAAGTCCACTTTAACACCATGGAGCATGAGGTACTGTCTGAGAGCAACGGAGCCGACGACAGCAATCACAAATCAAACAACCACTCGCTCTAAGGAGATAAAGCCCTGAAACCACACTGAGACACACTACATAGAGTACGACCATGACAGCCATTATTCAAGCAGTCTCACAGATATGTAATGACAAACAGATAACTAGGCCAACATGACAACTGAAGGTTACATTTGAGTGCTGCTTTTTCTTTTTGTTTTTACTTTTCTCTCCAATCGTGGTTGAAGATTTAAAATTAGTGTAAAAACATCCAGCAGCTAGATGTAAATGTAAAAGAAAATTTCAACAACCACTCTGCATCTTTTTCTTTTTAAACTTCACCAAAATCAGTTAATGCATGTGTAAAGAGCGTGCATACTCAGAAGCTCATTTATTGTACGTTGCAGTGGTCCGAAACAGTAAAATTGTGGGAACATAAAATCAAGTTTTTCAAAGGTTTTAAACACCCTCAGTACTTAAATCTGAAAATTGTTAAAAAACAAACAAAAATGATGAGCCTTGCATATCAAAAAGGATTGCACTTGATAGTCATTACCATATTCTATTGCAAAGACATCCATTGATGGCAGCTTTGTCAAAATAGATTCATCATTAGATGCAAATGTGGTGATTTATTGTTTGAAAGTGATTGTGTGTGTGCGTGTATACTGTAGTCATGTGTAGCAAAACTGTCATTACAGTTAAACCTTTTGTTTGTTGCTGCAAATATAAACAAATGTGCTTCTGCTTTTTAGGTGCTCTGTGTGTGTACATTATTTCCAAGACTAATACTTCATATAAAACCTCTAACTATTAACTCAATTATCCTGCAGTATCACTGTGTTGACTGGTGAAAGAGAATATGTAACTGCTAATGTTGCAGAGCTTCAGCCTTAGCTTATGAACATGTTGAGCTCTGTGCTGCCTGAAAAATTCTCAATAGAATTTCTATTGCAAAATGTGATCTACTGTACATGAATTGGAGACATACTGTACATGAATTAGTGGTGAAAAATAAAACGCATTCAACACAGTGAACCCTCAACTTTCACAGGAAAATAACAACCTTGAAGTGTATTGGTGTTTTACTGTGGTTAACGTGACAGCTCATCTTGTTGTGATACTATCTCAGAAGTTAGCAGTTTTTATCTGTGCATTTCCTTTTTTCAGTTCCTGTGTCACTCTTTAAACGTCAAAAGTGCCAACTGCGTAGTGCCGTCCTCTTGCATGTGGCAACTTCCATATGAAACAGCATAATTTGTATGCACGTTAACTAAGGAAGAACAAAAAATCTGCACACTCAGCCAGAATTCTCTTTCAGTTTCTGTGTTCAGCAAAGATGAATTTATGTAGCTTTGAATAAAAACGATGGCGCCCTTGTGACTCGTGTGTATAGGAAGAATTGGCTCCTACTTCAGCCTTTATGGTGCCTTTAATGTGTACCACAGGGGTTGGTTAATAACACAACACTGCATGATGCGGTCAGTGGAGTTTGGCTGCCGGCAGAGAGGAGAAGTGGTTGAGGAAGAAGCAAGATAGAGACTTGTGGCTGGTCAGTGACAAAAAAAAGATATCTTGTTCAGCAGCCCAAAAAGGAAAGATAGTGCTGCAGTTGTGTTCTTTATTTATTGTTGATTCTTGTTTCTGTTGATTACCCGTTCAGCCTATAGACTGTCAGATAATAGTAAAAAAAATGGCTGTTATAATTTCCCGAAGCCTTATTGAGTTTTGTCAGTCCCAAAGATAATAAATACCAATGAAACACCTTATTTCGTCCCACGTGCTGCAAGACTTACCCATTAAATATTGTTCATGTTGAAGCTGAATGACTATTACACACAGTAGAACTCATAACATCCGTGCCTTTTACTCATCTGTGCTGAACATAGAAACTGAAAGAATGGACATAAGTTTTCTGATAAGTGCAAACTCTTTTTGTGTATTCTGGACTTAAGTTAGTGGCACTCCAAAGTTCTTTATGTCACTGGTTGAGCATGAGAGTTTTTCCTCCACCTTCAAATGTATTGCATCATATTTGTGTCTCACTTCTGGGAACAGGATGGGACATTTGCAAAAGGATCTATTTTGAGCAATTTATGCTCAATAAATGTTTTGCATGTTGCCCGTCGTCCACGTAGGTGCTCAGTAACCTCTCACACAGTGCTGCTCATTTGCCCTTGATTGTGTCCTTGCTCACAGTGTCCTAATGTTTGCCTGCAAACTTGCTAAACATGACAGTGTTATGTTGTGCAACAATTTCAGCCAGTCAGAGAATTGGTCTCCGAGCAGGCTGTTTTGTCTTCCATCAGATCTCTAGTATTAGTATCGGCCACTTTAATAATTGATCTGCGTGCAGATCATCTCTGCATGGGCACAAAATATGTCCCATCATGCTTTCAGAATTATGACACAGTTGTAATTCGGTACATATGTACATTCATCCAACCAGGATGTCAAAGTTTCCATGAGGCAAACTTGTGCAAAACATCAGTGACCTTAATCATACCCCCTTAAGAGCTCATAAAACGAGGCCTTAATGGCCGCACTGCCTCTTACTGTAAACAGAATTCTTTGTTGGAATTACCCTGTTGTGTTATGCAATCCTTACTGAGCAGAACATTTCTATGTTCTCCATGCTGTCTGCTAATGTGTGTGTGTGTTAGATCATGTGCTCGTGCTGTACACTCTTAAACCAGTCCAGATGTGTACTTGTGGTTGGAGTGGGTAATGTTCCTCGCCACATTTCCTCTGACTTGTTACTCTGGCATGTGCGTCTGTTTGGAGATGTGCATTCTGTCATTCCCTCTCGCACGCACACACACACGCACACGCAGCCTGTTATTGCTGCTAGCAGGAAGTGCAGTGATGTGTGTGTGTGTGGCGTTGTGTGTGGCGTGTGCGTGTACACTGATTCACAGATAGGTTGTTTTACATATATGACATTAGGATTAGAAAGGAGGCAGGAGACGGATGGTTGGGACAAATTTTCATTTGCTCTCTCCGTGATAGTAAAATATGCAGTGACTCACACAATTAAGAGGAAGCTGGACATTTGCGAATAATTACATAATAATAATCATTGACTCTTAAGTACTCATAAAGGGAATACCATTACAAGAAGCTATTAAAGGCATAACAGTATATTTAAACTATATTCTTTGTCTTCAGATTTCAGATGAATCCACTTGTTGATACTCATTTTCATATTATTATAGGCTAACTGTTTGTATTGTTTTCACAGTTCAGAAACATTTTCATATTTAGGGTCTATTTTTGTACAAACGTTACAACTAATATGAATAAATGCATAAACTGCCATACATCTGTGATTTGTTTGGTCATGTCTGTCGTGCCTGCTTTGTCTGCTTTTCGGCATGATTGCTTCTTTATGATAACCAATGAATGAACTTTACGTTTGGAATCCTGTTAGCCTATGTGGAAACACTCTCTCAGGGATAAACATGTTTTTTCTGTGTCTTTTTCTCTCTGCTTGGTTAGCTCTTTTTGCTAGTTTGGACATGACTAACCCGTTTTCTCTTCTTTCTTTTTCACTTCCTGTTACTTTCTGCTGCACCTAATCTCCTTTCCTTCTTTCTTTCCCCACTCTCCTGATTCTTTACCTCATTTCAACTCTCACCTCATATTCTTATCTGTCTCTCCACCTCTGTCTTTAGAACTATAAGTCTCGTACTGCCGAGCTGATGGAGAGGAGCAACGGGACGCCTCTCATCCGTGGGGGCACAGAAGACATCCCTGACTCTTCAGAAAAGTGGAATTAACTCAAACAACCATAAACATTCAACACACTCAAAACATGCAGACACACACTTGACTCTGAATTCTACAGTTCTGTGTATACAAACAGTAAGACCCGTCCTTCTCCAACCAGCAGACTGTAGCGTCGGGCTCAAAAACTGCAGACAGCGCCTGCTCTGTTTGTGTCTGTTAAAGCTTAGTTGGTCATCGGGCAAAGAAGAATTGATTAACTTAAAATATCCGTTGGCCAGCATGATAGCGGACGTGTCTTGTAATTAAAATGGAGTGGCTCATTTGTGCTTTATCATCGACCTTTAGCAGACATGGGGACGCAAACCCTCCATTACTGGCCCATTTAAACAACATGGGGGGGTGGGACAGGACACTGGAGAGCTCATTTCCTGTTAGGACATAAATGAACCGCCAGTTTTCCCTAAACAGATGGTAGTGGTGGTAGAAGCAGCACTGACAGCCACTGAACAACTGGAACAAGCTGGCGGTGCACGGAAGAAATGACTGAAAGTGTGTGGACGGTCGCATAGCAGAAATATGTTCTCTGTTGAGTTATATAAGTTGTAATTTCTGCCACAAATGGCTGTAGTAATATCCTCATGATGGATTAATGTGTATGTGCAGTCTGATACAACAGACTTTATGATCATTTTGGAGGATGTAGTTTGTGGTCTTGTTGAACTGTATTGCATTATACAGAAAGGTGCTTGGTATTTAGCTTACATTTAACTTAAATGGCGTGCGTATAAAGCAGTACAACACCAACGACTACGTCCTCCAGAATGGTCATACAGTTGAATCAACACGTCTCTAAAATAGTTCAAACAAAAACTGAACATTATAAACTTCTTTGAAGAAGGATTTATTTCAGGGCTGTTGTGTTAGACCGCATTAGTTTTAGTCAGATGTACCTAACAAACTGGCAACTGAGTTTATATAGAATCACTGGATATCTGGTGTTACCAGGGTTCACTCACAGGAGTTGCAGTCAAAGTCCACTGAAGCTCATGGAGGACTCCAGTATCACTCCATGCTGGGCTTTATAAAGGGTTATAAATTGTAACTGATGGATTCCTTTACGGTTAATAAGCAATTTACCAATGTTTTAGTAAATGTAGACAGAGGCCAATGTTAACAGCAACGCTTCCAGGTTGTGAAAAATATGGAACTTGCTCTGTGCTTTAACAAGCTCTTAAATTCATGTAGGAATACCCCTCGTATTGGGCCACTTGCAAAGCTGCAGAGCATCCAGACCGAAATGTATTCATTAACAGCTTTATATCTACAGCTGCTGCTGTTTAAGCCCTGATCAGTTGCTGTCTTAGCCTCCTGTTTTCATAAGTATGTCTTTGATTTTGAGTTACATTGGGTGTATACCCCCTTATACCCACTTTTTTTATCACCACTTCGCACAACTTATTTATCATAGTTTTAGTATTAGAATTGGCATGAGTGGTATTGTTTTTTTTGTTTTCTGAAGACCTGGAGGATTATTGCACCAAAAGAACGCTTTATCAGGAATTTACTGCGTGTGTAACTAAACATGACAGTTTACTATTAAGATATAAACTTAATGACCCTTTATTGGCTCGCTTTTTAATTAACTATTTAAAGATCTAACTAAAGAGACAGCAAATAAAGAGAATAAACACCAACCAAATGGATTCTTCCCAACCTGGCAACTTAGTTATTCTTATTAATGGCTTATTGATGATGATGAAGATGATTTATTAACATTAATAAAGCCTTTGTTAGAATTTATAACCCTGCTTTAAAGCATTCCGGCACCTCTCTTCATTTGTTTGGCAACAAATCAGAATCATCTTCTGGGGTTTGTGATTCTGATTAGATTGTTACATAATTTTAGATGTAGGATATTTATAGATTTAACCCCAATATTTAAAGTATACAATAAGATAATTTTTGCCTTATGCTTCATAGAGTGGAAGAGACACCAATCTTCTGGTGTGCATGTTACGATGCACATTTTATTTCTATATTTTACCTTTTATTGTAAATATCAAAGGGAACTGACCGATTTGTGCTAAAAGCTGTTTCTGCCTCAAACTTTTATTTTTTATATTTCTTTGGGTTGTTTTTTGTTGTCACTGTATGCTGCTAACACTGTGCATCATGTAAACTGTCTTTGTGCTGGAATGATGCACAATATTCATTTGTAAATTGTTTGTGATATAACATTTTATTTATGATCACATTGAAATTGTAGATATTATGTACAGTATTTAGTACACAGATTTGCCATCAGAGGCAGCTGCAACAAAAAAAAAACACCATAAAGGGAAATCAAGCTTTTGTTTATTAGGGTAATATCCAGAAATGTTAAATTAAAATGTTTAACCTTTTTGTTAAGCATTGCTGAGTGAACAGAGCGTGTGAGTGAGTGATTATGAAGGTTTAGGGTAATTATATTGCAGCTGATGAGTAAGGCTGATATTTTTCTAGGAAAGAACCATTTTGACCGTAACACTTTGTTTTGGTTTCCTGTGTGTAATTTTCAACCATGATAATCTGCCCTCAGTAACTGACAGTGACGTCATTAAAAACTTTTAATACACGTTTTCTTTATTTTTCAGTCCTCAATTTATTCCTTTCTGTATTCTCTCTCAGGGTCTTGAGAGTTTCCTTTTCATCTGCTCTACTTTCCCCAGCTCTCCTCCCTCCTTCTCCTTCCTTCCTGGAGAAGCAGTCTGTATGGACCCCTTCCTTATATTACCAAGAGAGAGTCTTTTCAGTGATATCGGCTCTTTCTTGTCTGTTGGCAGTGAGAATCTCTTCTGGGAATGCTTCTCCCTCTTCAGGTTGTCCAACTTCAGTTTATCCAGGGACAGGACGCTCTTCTTCTTGCGTTTCTTACTAGGTAGCGCCCTCCTCAGCTTACTCCAGGTTTTGTCCATTGGCGACTTCTTCTTCTTCTTCTGCCAGAAAAAGGTTGTTTTAGAGGAGGAGCCACCCATAGCCAGTTGACCTGCAGGAGGAAGAACACTGTGATCAACGTGAATACAAAGATTGTTCTGGAGGCCAGCGAGGAAAGAGGATCCATTTAATCATTTA